GGCCCCTCCTCCCCCTCCGGCGGGGCCTCGCCGGCGCTCTCCTCCTCCCCGTCCTCGCCCCGGGGGCTCCGGGAAACGCCGTCGGACTCGGGCAGTCCTGGGAACGCGGGCGCCTCGGCCGCGCCAGCCTGGTCGTCCTCCTGCTCACTCAGCAGCCCCTCTGCAACAGAAAAGGCGACAGAGCGGCGACTGTACCTGGAGCCCAGACAGTAAGCCCAGAGGAAGCCAGGCACCAAGAAGAGTGTGGGCCGCGGAGTAACCCCCCAACTCACTCTCCTAAGACCCCCCAAGCGAGGTTCCACCTGTGCGGCCTCGGGAGGAAGGCCTGCGGGAGAGGATGCTCCGGAACCCGGGGACGCTCACCCGCGGCCCCCTTGGCTCACCAGCTCCAGGCAGCCGGCTCTGGGCCCGCCAGGCCCACCCACTGTCCCCAGGCTCCATCCCAAGGCCTGACAGTCTGCTTGAGCGGTCAAGTCTGGGCCAGGAGGGGCTCCCTTGAATCTCAGAAGAAACTTACCCTAAGAGCGACCCAGGCCTTTCAAGGCCCTGACCTCAAAAGATAAGACCACTCCAGCCAACCACAAGAAAAGGCCACTGGGCCTAAGCAGGCCCTGGACTGACTTTTAAAGTGTGATTAGTCATTCTGGTACAGATGAAGGTGGAACAACACACCGAGCACACCCGAAATTAAGGGCTTTGCTATGGAAGGGGTGAGGAAGATGGCGGGGAGAGCTCTGGGCCTAGAGCTGCTGAGCCCAGCTTAGAGGCTGGTCCAGCACACACACTTGTCTGACTCTGGTTGCTTATGCCCAAGCAGAGGGCTCTCCAGAAAGTCACTGGATATTAAAGAGCATGTGCTTGCCCTCGCTGCCAGTTTGGCTCAGTGGTTAGAGGGTCACCTGCGGACTGAAGGGTCTCGGGTTTGATTCTGATCAAGGGCTCCTACCTCAGTTGCAGGCTTGATCCCCAGCCCCAGTCGGCCAGTGCAGGATGCAACCAATTGTGTCTCTCTCACATTGATGTTTCTCTCCCCCCATCCCCGCCACGCTCCCACCCCTTCCTTCCACCCTCTCTAAAGAAATCAATGGAAAAAATATCCTGAGGATTAACAACAACAAAAGAAGAGCACGTGCTTGTGTGCACTGCTGGGACCCGGGATGAGTTACAGGGGGAAGAATGTAATCTCGCCGTCCTGGCCACAGGGGCTTCGGCTCGTTTCTGTCCCCGAGGCATGCACAGAGCAGGAAGAGTAAGGAATTCCCGAACACAGAACTGAATGCGGTTTCCAGGTCAGGGACAGCAAGGGATTGGGCAGAGGCCTTGGCACTCTGAGAATTAGCCACAGGAACGCGGGTTACATCACTTACCACTGAGTTCAGTTATCTGCAAACAGATAAATGACAGCAGTTGTAAACATCTGAAGACTGCTCCCGCGGCGCTCAGTGGGCCTGTGTATGTGGCAGCTCATTTATCTCTGCCAACAACCAGGTGAGCTAGGTTCTAATACTACCTGTGTCCCCTCTCGTGTTGTTCCAAGTTGATCTGCAGCAGTATTCTCCAAACTGTAAAGCGCTGTGCCCATGACTACCCTCTTCACCCATCTACCAGCACAGCCCACCTTGCACTGGGCTGAAGAAAGGGATGTTCCCCGGGCTTAAAATGGTGCAAGCTGGGCTTAATGGTCTCTTTGGAGAGCCCCCTCACAGGACTGCTGCCCCCGGTTATGACTCAGGAGGAACTAGAAATAAACGCGGGCGGGGCAGCTTTCATGGAAAGTCCCACATCTCACCTGCGCAGACGTCAGACACGGGTTCCCGCTCCTCCGAGTCCCCTCGTGGAGCGTCCTCCTGCGGGCTGGAGCCCGCGTCCTGCTCCGGGCAGCCTGCTGTCTTGTCTGCATCCTGTGCATTAGAGCCCATTTCTCTCTCTTCTGGGTTCTCTTCCCTGTCCTCTGAGTTCTCAAAATCGGAGCCCATGCCTGTGTCTTCCGAGTCCGGGGCTTCACACACACCGTGCTTGTCTTGTTCCATGCAGGAGGAACAGGATGAGGGAAGGTGACCCGGAATCCCTGCTCCAGACAAAACACAGATAAAGGTCACGTCAGTCTGGCCTCATTCCCTCACCTTGCCTGCCTTTGAATTCCAGTGGCACAGTCCCACGAAAAGTACAGAGTAACAAGCCTCAGATGGCAAATCTCTGCTCCACCTCACATTTTAAGGCAAACAGATCCGAGCGCAAAGGCGGCTGGTCTGGGTGCCAGAGGAATGGTGGCAACTCATCCTGAGGCCATAGGCTGGACCACAGTTTGATCTGTTTCCTTCTGTGAAGTGGGTGATTTTATTAACAGGGCTTTGTGGCGTTAACCATGGGGTAACAGTGGCATTCCCATTTTACAGCTGAGAAAATGGTGCTCAAAAGGAAGACCTGCTAGCCTAAGGCTAACATGTAAGCAGTAAAGAGGGGTTCGAATCCATTTCACTGTCTCCAAGTTCCATGCATTTCTTACTCTTAGTAAAGTTTGCCCTCGTCTAAATATATACAATTCGTATTTATCAATTACATCTCAATAAAGTTGGGGGGGCACTTGCCCCCCTCAAGCCCACAGCAATCTTGTGAGGATTTTTAGCTAATGATGGGTGGGTCTCTAAGGAGCCAGAGGAAAAGTACATTTGAGACGCAAGAATGACACTAACTTCTGGTCTAAGACCATGTCACCAGCAGCAGCACCAACCTGGCTTTGTGGTGAGGATCAGGCTTTCACACGTCTGTTGGGAGTGGGTGGAAGAGATGCAGGGACCCTCCATATTAGAAGCCATCCCTACAGCCTTATGACACAGTTTGCCTTTTTATATGTGTACTTTAATTATAGGGAGCCCTGAACAGAGCATGCCCCTGGCGTAATCAGTAACCCCTCTACAGAACAGGCAACATGGGAACTGCAGGGAGAAAATGACCTCAGATTCCTAAACCTTTCATAGACGTCAGGTTTGCATTTCAAATTTGAAGGGGCCCATGCCAAGACTGAGCCATGGAGCCAAAAATAATTTACTTCTGCCATCCATCACTCCTACAGCTCAGCTCATGGCAGCAAGGCAGTTTATAGGTCAAGCATCTTGGCCTAAGACTTTAAAAATGTCCAATTCTCTCTGCCTTGGCAGCCCCCAAACAGAATTTGCAAGAACATGGCTAAGCGAGATGCCCCTTCCTTGGCTGGGAGCTTTTCCTGCCTCCACTGAGGGCTTCCCTGAGGCAGCCCTGGCTCTGCTGAGACTCAAAGTGGAAAGCAGGAGCCATCCTGGCAGGGCCAGCCTCACTCTAGGGCCCAAGGGAAGTCAATTAACCTCTCATTGTCCCAATGTCTTCATCAATGCCCCTTAGCCTGTCTCACCAGCAAGGTGTCAGAAGGAAACATTACAAAGCACTTTGGAAAATACTGTGGAGGGGAACTGATGCTCTGAGTTTTACAAATGTGGAATAAATGTGATTTCTCTTTTTAATGTGCAATACACACATTATTTCTCTTTTTAAGTCCTGATGCCATTCCAGCATACCTCAAAGGCACGCTGGCCCCAGCATAATTTTGGTTGATATCACCCTAGAGAGCATATTATACCTTTTTCTCAGAGATGCT